ACTGTAACACACTGTGGAGGATGTCTTCTTGTGTTTATGTGTAATTACTCTCACTGCCAGAAGGGGGAGACAAAGAACAGGTTTAAAGAGCAATTATTAGTTTTGGGGGCAAACCAGATGATGTTAAACTGTATGGTTAATGCTTATTGTTAGGATTGTTGATGCATATGAAGTATTCATCCTGTGTTTTACTCTGAAAGGATCGTACCTATGAGGAGATACAGGAGCTCCCCCAGAAGCCAGACTCAGGAACTGCACTTAAAACTATTTATGTCACTGCCAACTTTCCCACAAACCCCTCTTCTGCCCCACATCATCCCTCCAACATCAACTTTCAGAGCAGCTCTGGTGATGTTGGTGGTGACACATATTTTACTGTGAGGGACGGTGATCAACACCCCACCTACTCAACGGTCAACCACCCATCCAGATCTTCTGCAGACCCTTTCTATTCTACTGTCAACAAGCCACAGTGAGGAAGGTCCTGGCAGTTTTCACCTCGTTCATTTGTGATGGGATTTGTTTTTTAGTATTCAAACAATACGCAGACTTTAGAAATTACATTACTCTGGGCCATGAAGTAACATATGAATGTGTCAGTCCTGGTTGAACTGGTCCATAATGAGGGTAAGGTTAGATACCATTACATGAATTGTAAAGTTTGAGGACTAGTGGTTTTGAATTAAAGACTATTTGGAAAAAGCATTGATTTAACCCTGAAACCAAAAACTCTTGATTTGTCTTATTATCACAAGTAAAGTCAGTTTATTTACACAAATGACAGCCGTGCCATGTATTTACCTGTTTTAATGGATCCCTTTAATTTCTGGAATTACTGAATGCTACAAGAATATTGTGAATCAAATGTAAACATTTTAGATTAAAATAATAACCACAGTCAGTACGTCAAGAGTTTGGAGTTTTACTGCTGTTGGTTTTTTAAACCTTGATACCAAACCAATCACCTGCAGACTGATATTAATGTAATTTATATTCATACAGTTTATACTATGTGCAATATGTTATGCATCAGTTGTTTTTTCATTGTTTAAAGATACATCTATTTGAAATGTACATTTTTACTGAAATACTGCATTTGTATAATGAGTCACTTTATTCTTTTGAATATTTTTCAACACTGTATTTGATTAACAAAAATAGTTTATATAGTGATATTAAAAAAGGTCTACCTTTGCTTAGAGTGGTTGTCTTTATTTTATAATTGATCAAACAAATTCTACCCTATATGTAGATACATACAAACCAGAAAATATGACTTTATTTTTAGAGACATGCAAATTAACAAATGCTCCTAAAATTTTACTTTGTTTGGTTCCTTTCATACTTTCAAGCCGTTTAAGACAAAAAGTTACAAAAATGAAAGCAAAATTTGCTCATCAGCCTCAGCTGTCTACAGCTAACAGTCGGCTCTGAGGACTTCAGGCTCCACCTACTGCATTGCGTATTATTTGTCACTTCATGTTTTAGGAAGTAAAGAACATTTTACCCACGTTCTCGTCTAACCCATTTCCCCCCAACTGTCCCCACTTCCTTAATTCGTTTTTCGGATTACAGCATCATTCAACCTCTCTGCTACACTCCAGTGACTCCTTCCCTGCCAGTCAACCACATTAGTCCCTAACATTACACTCTTTTAAAGTACTCAAACATGAGGAAATGTTAACGTATCTGCAAGTAGCAAAATGCTGATACTGAACAATTCAGTAAAATATCAGCTTGAGCAACATATTTTGTTCATACAACTGAAGCATGATATAAAAATGTATAGTTGTTTGGGCCCTCTGGTTGAGATTAGAGGGAGACAATGTTGACACGAGACGATGTGTTTACTTTATTAACTTTTAACCAAAGTGCTTTAGTTGCTAAAACTTCACCACAAGCTGGAGTCAGAACACAAACCTCAGTCTCCAGTGTCTAACTGCTACATTTGGCACACCCACCATCAAC